TAGTAGTAGTAGTAGTAGTAGTAGTAGTAGTAGTAGTAGTAGTAGTAGTAGTAGTAGTAGTAGTAGTAGTAGTAGTAGTAGTAGTATACCAATGTAAAGCGCATTGAGCTATTTTTTTAAAAATACGCTATAAAAATGTTATACATTACTAGTGAAAGTACCCGTTCTACGAACGGAATTATAATGAAGAAGTATTAGTAAAGTTAAGAAGAGGAAAAATACTGAAAACAGGAAAGAAACAAAACATAAATATTTTACCTTGAATTTATCCTTGTAGCACCCTATGTTGACTACCTCTAGGGGTTAGACTTCTTCCCCCTCTCCGAAGGCGTGGCATTTTCTCCTAAAGTTCCAGCTCAATCACTTTTTAAAAAAAGAGTTAGGCCTACATGCCAATAAAATATCGTTCTTTGAACTCCAAACACCTTTAACGCGTTGTTCGTAATGTTTAGTGGTGGCCAAAGAAAACAGCACAAGCGACCAAACCATGAATGTTTAACCCACGTATAGTGTATATATCTTTTATTGCAAAGTTGTTAGTGATACAGGGCTGGTGGGGTGCCCAATAGACAGCATTCGTAGAGTTCAGATATTCTGAAAGATGAAAGTGGGCTAGGTCATTGAGGAAATGATCACCCTTTTCAAGACGATTGACGAAACGCAAACACATTTCCATCCTCTGATGCATGTCAGCCTCACGAACATGAAAATGGTTCTCTGATAGGTCTACCTTGAAAATGCTGACCGTTGAGGTGTAAGAAAGTCCTAACTGCAGAAATCTTCAGCCAACAGACGTCTCATGAAACTCGACAACTGAATTCTTCACCCTGGTGACATTTCAAGTGATATCAATGGTACGTTTACGACCTGTAGTGGTCGCTTTCTCTAGGAATGTTAAGTTCTGATTCTCTATAGATTCAAATTTGCGTAACATCTCTTCCGTTGACATCAAACAGGGCCTTGAGGGCACTTTAGCCTTCTGCCCGAACCTTGTGTGTATCTTATGAAATGTCAAGGATAATGAGCTGGAGGTGAAGCAGTGCGAGATACAAAAATGTCTCTGCTATTTACTAATAATCTTAATCATGACCTCAGTTGGCAAAGGACATTTTAGAAAACCACTATCTGCAAACTTCCGTTGACTTGTCAGACTGCTGTAGCTTGCAATATGGCGCGATCGTTGCGACTTTTAGTGGCTGGCCTAATGCGAACTGCTGTGTCAGTTTGCACAAAGAGGGACAAGGCTATATTT